AAGACATAGGGGTGAGAGGGAGCCAAAAGAAGACAAACTCTGAAGTTAGATTAAGATGTTTTAGAATTTAGGTGCCCTTAGCTGCTTTCCAGAAGCACATATAGCATCATTCAAGGAATATAACATCATTCTAGGCTTCAGATTATTTCCACAAACAATTTTGCACATATAATGACTAGCTGGTCATCCTATATAACAGGGGTCCTCAGACTACGGCCCGCGGGCCACATGCAAATACAAATATTGTATTTGTTCCCATTTTGTTTTTTCACTTCAAAATAAGATATGTGCAGTGTGCATAGGAATTTGTTCATAGTTTTTTTTTTAAAATTATAGTCCAGCCCTTCAACGGTCTGAGGGACATGAACTGGCCCCCTGTTTAAAAAGTTTGAGGACCCCTGCTATATAATAAAACCCTAATATGCAAATTGACCAAATGGCGGAATGACTGGTTACTATGACATGCACTGACCACCAGGGGGCAGACGCTCAACGCAGGAGCTGCCCCCTGGTGGTCAGTGTGTTCCCACAGGGGGAGCGCCGCTCAGCCAGAAGCCGAGCTCACAGCTGGTGTTTGCTGCCCAGTGGTGGGAGCCACTCCTGCCTCTGCTGCAGGCGGGTGGTAAGGAGGGAGGGGTCCCAGACTGCAAGAGGGATGTCTGACTGCCGGCTTAGGGCCCTAGGGATCGGGCCTAAGCCGGCAGGTAAACATCCCCCGAGGGGTCCCAGACTGTGAGAGGGTGCAGGCCAGGCTGAGGGACTCCCCAACCCCCAGTGCACAAATGTGCCCCGGGCCTCTAGTTTTAAATAAATAGTCAGCAGGCACTTTGCGGTTGAAGCAGACCTGGATGAGCTCCCAATGGACTTAACATGCACATCTTTACCTGGGTCGTGGGGAAGATGGTGGCGATGCCACTGTGTGGATTGAAGTAGTGGAGTCATGAACACAGGCACTGGGTGGCTCCTCCGGGCACCAGCAAACTGCAGGGCTGCCTTCCGACGGGGCAGGGCAGGGAGCCTAAGGCAGGAGCCCCCCGGAAAGGCAGCCTGGCCACTGTCTGTCGGGGGTCAGCTGCCTGTCCTGTCTGGGCAGACCTGGAGCTGGACAGTGAGGAGACCATGGGCTGCCTGAGTCCTTTTTGGCCACCTCTCAGGCATGGTGGCTTCTGGGAGGGTGCACCTTGGCTGATGGGTCCCCAAGCGCACAGGGCTGGGTCCCACCTTGGTGCTGGGTCCATCCTTTCTCACCTGCGTGGGTGGGGCTGGGACCCTGCTCTCTGGGGGGCCTCCAGGAGCCAAGGGTAGAGTGCAGCGGGGCCGGCTGGGGTCCACAGTTCCTCGGGGAGGCGTCAGCTGGCTGGACACACCCCAAGCCTGGAGTTCATAGAACCCCAGGGGGCACATGACCACTTCAGCTTCAAACCTTCCCACCAAGGCTCTGTCTTGATCGCCCCTCCCTTCTCCATCTGTCCTTCATTCTTCCCTGTCCCCAGTGCCCTTTGAGTCCTTCACAGCGGGATCCTGGTAGGATTTCTCCCGTTTCTCCCCTGCGCATAGTGGGTGCAGCCAAGGCCTCCTGGACTGGGGACACAGACCTCCCAGCACTTTTCCTCGCCTGTCAGAGCTGGTCCACTGAGGTCTTGCTCCCCTGCAGGCTGTTCAGAGTGGGATCTGCGTGTGTTCTGGTGGTTTGTTTGCTTGTGTTTTTTGGAGGTGCTGTGTGTCCGGGAGTGGTGTGTCCCCGCCTGCCTGGACTAGGGCTTGGTGAGCGTGGGGGCTTCTTTCACCAGTGTGTAGGCCCCTGGGAACATAGGGGCTACCCATGGGGACAGTGCCACTTGTATACCTGGTTCCTTTGGAGGCCAGCGGTTGGGTTGGCTGTAGCTCAGGGATACAGTGAGCCCCTTCCTCACCCGGGTGCGTGGGGAGCATGTGCCTCCCGTCGGGGCCAGCAAGTATCAGGGGGCACCACAGGCGCCCCAGTCCCGGGAGCACAGCTTCCTCTCCTGCAGGATGGGTGGGTGAGCTGGAGGTCGGGAGCCTCCTGTGCATGGGTGCCCTGGCTCCGCGAGTGGGGGCTGTGCCTATTAAAAGCAGAGGCGGCCTTGTGGTTGGAGTGTTGCCAGAGGCTATAAATAGCTGAGTGTGTGCAGAAGCAGAGCTTGCCAGGGAGGAGGGAGGCAGGGGGAGGCCCCTGGGTCTCCAGCTGGCAGCAGAGCCTGGGCGTGGTGTGGGAGGGGCCTGGGTCTGCCATCAGGTCCCCCTTGGGCTCTGAATGCCAAGCTCTTGCAGGCGTGGGTGTGCACACTTCCCGCTTGGTGGGCTGGGGGCCCTGGGGGGCTCATGTTGTGAGGGGTTGTCCTGGGCAGCAGGGGCGGGTATGGCTCTAATATGCCAGCTAACACGCCCGTGCCGGGCACTGTCCTGACCACTCTGAAAGTGCACGAACTCATCTCTTGGAGCCGAGCTAGAAGTATGTGCCGTTAGTACCCCCTTTTCACGAGCAGGAGCTGGGTGGCTTGGTAACTTGCCCAGGGTCATACTGCTCAGAAGCATCAGAGCCAGGAATTGACCGAAGACTGACAGCTCATGGTTGCATTTTTTGGCCACGTGTAGGAGGGTCTGGTCAGAGGGGGGTTTGGTGGCATCCCACATCTGTGTGTCCTCCCCTGGGGCTTGAGATTTGGAGTTCCCAGCCCTGTGCGCTTGGGTCCTGCCCACGGTAGTGGCCATTGGGGGTCCCCGCCCGATCCGGGGCCTGGGAGAGGGGCTGGACCACTCTCGGTATCTGTGGGCCTCCCTTGTTCTGGCTCCTAGCCTTGCACAGGGGGCTTGTTGCTTGTTGTCAGAGTGGAGATGGAAACTCCTCAGAGGACTCGAGAGTTTGGGCAGCAGGCCACCCCTTCTGTTGTCCCCTCCCTTGGAAACCCTGCCCTAGCCAGGAACTAACTATGTCTTTCTGTCCGTTCCTTGGTCCTTCTATCCATCCATCTCTCGTGTCCAGAACTGGTCCTAGCACTCAAGACAGCCAAGGCTTCTGCCTACATCAACTTTGCAGTCTCGCCGGGGAAGCCTGACATTTAAAAAGCAGTTGTCGAGCACATTCTAATATTCTACTTCTTCTATGAGCTTTCATGATGTGACTTCCTCCTGGGGATTAGCTTTGGTGACATCATTTTTGCTCTCTTTGAATGTCTGAAATACTCCCTTAACAGCAGTCCAGGGTGATGAGCTGGATTTTGGAGGAAGCATGAAGGCCTGTGGCAGCAGCGTTGACCTGGTCTCCAGGGAGAGGGACGAGCTGAAATGTAAAGGGGAGAGTGGGGAGCATGTTGCAGCCAGAGGTGGTCGCTTGCACTCAGCCCAGGAGCCCAGCATGGTCAAGGCCTGGTCGTGTGGTGGCTGCGGTGAGGAGCAGGTGGGCAGTGCCCAGCTTCCCTGTCTCCTCATGAGTCTCAGTCCCTGGGGACCCCTACGGAATTGCTGCTGGGAGTGCAGTGGGCCCCCAGGCTGGGGGAGGAGGCCCCGTGCCCTCTGGACTGGGGGGGGGCGGGGGCTTTGCATAGCCGGGCGCCCAGATGCTGTAACTGGTGGGTAAGGGTCTGTATGCATTGTGGAAGCCAACCTGGGTCCTGGTCCTGGTGTGCTCCCTCAGCCTGTGGTCCTCCGCCCACCCTGCTCCCTCAAGTTCTCCTCTCGGACCTTAGGTCCCTTCAGCTGGACGCAGGGCCTGGCTGGCGGGGCACCAGTGTGCACCCTGCAGAGCCCCTTTGTGGGCCCTGTGGACCAGGCTGGGTCCCAGCTGCCTGGGAGTCAGGAACCCACTCTTCTTTCTTGTGTCTGAGTCTAGGCCCCATGGATTCGGGGCGTTTGTGCCCCCCCCGCCCCCCCCCTCACCGGGGGTTAGGGTGAGGTCTTCTGTTGCTGTTCCAGCCAGCCTTTCAGGCTGAGTAATGGTGAGGCAGGGGGTGCCATGGACCGCTCCTCCCGCCTTCCTGGGGCTGTAGGGGAGTCCAGCAGGGGTGGTGGCAGGTCACCAGCTGGCAGTAGGAAGGTGGAGAGGCTAGGAGGGAGCTTGGTGCCGGTGTTAGGCAGTGAGGTTGTAAGGGCTGAGGTTTAAGGGTACCTCTTAAAGACGATGGCAGGGCACTCCCAACCCGAGGCCTGGGAGCATTTCAGCCTAGACATTGCCGGGGGGTGGTTAGACCTGGGAGCCAGCCTCCTTTGGCCTCTCCTCCTCCTTCCTGTCACAGGGCTGTGGGGGGTGGGGCAGTGGGGCAGATCTGGGGGCTGGGACTGGGGTTGTTTGGAGGGGATGGGTGAGAAGGTTGGATTTGGTGAGTTCCAGGCCACGTTTGAAGGAGCAATTGAGGATCAAAGTTTCGGCCTGGATGGCACTTGAGCAGGGGGCGCAGGAGCGGGTGGGCAGGGGGCTGTGGGGGATACACCAGCAGTGTCTCCCTGGGGGACTGTGGTGAGCGTGGCTTGAGGCAGAGACAGCAGCAGCCGGGGCTGAGGTCTATAACAGGGTCAGCTGAGACAGGGGTGATCGAAAACTTGGATTTGCCCCAGTTCCAGTTGGATAGGTCTGGGCTGAACCCCCAAACCCCGCCTGCACACGCAGTGCTGCTGATGTGCACGAGGCTTTGAGGGCCCCTCTAGTCATTGCTGCTGTAGGGGAGCAGCCCCCACCCAGGAGCCTCAGGCTTCGGCGGAGCCCCCTTTGTTGCATCTGGCCGTCAGTCTGGGTGTCTGTTTCTCCGAGCTGTGTTGTTAGGTGTGTGGCCGCCTCCCTCTTGATTGGGCCAGGGGGCCGTTGCAGGAGGGAATGGGATGGTGGAGGCGGGTGCTGGCTGGCACATTAAACGAATTGGTGTCGAATGGGTGGGTGGCGTGGGGCTTGGCACCCACCCCCAGCCTCCCTCAGGGTGGCCTGGGTCCAGGACAGGGAGCCGAGGCGGGTGGAGTGCTCAGCAGGTCTCCCTCGGGGTGCCACGCAGGTTCCGGGCGCAGCGAGGCCGAGACGCGGGAGTGCATCTACTACAACGCCAACTGGGAGCTGGAGCGCACCAACCAGAGCGGCCTGGAGCGCTGCGAGGGCGAGCAGGACAAGCGGCTGCACTGCTACGCCTCCTGGCGCAACAGCTCGGGCACCATCGAGCTCGTCAAGAAGGGCTGCTGGCTGGACGACTTCAACTGCTACGACAGGTACCCTGCAGCTCCCCTCCCCGGCCACCCCCTCTCAGCCTCGCCAGAGCCGCCTGCCGGCACCCTGCCCGCTGACCGCACGGGTCTCAGGGTGTGTGAGACTGCGCCTGGCATTTAGGGCCGGGCGGGGGGGTGGGGGGGGGAAGGACAGGGGCTCTCGAGAGCTGGGACACGCGGGGTGCTGCAGGGTCCTGGCCCTGAGGAGCTCTGAGTGACTGTCCACCTTGCTGCCCCTCCCAGACTCTCGGTCCCACTTGCCGGGAGGTGGGTGTACACTGTCCCCCTGGGGTTCCCCGTGAGGCTCTCTGTCGGTGGGGTGGGGTTTGGCTGGGCCTCCGCTGAGGGGTGTGTGGGAAACTGTGCCCCCAGGCAGGAGTGTGTGGCCACCGAGGAGAACCCCCAGGTGTACTTCTGCTGCTGTGAAGGCAACTTCTGCAACGAGCGCTTCACCCACCTGCCCGAGGCGGGGGGCCCGGAAGGTGAGGGCCGAGGGAGAAGCAGGCTCGGGCCGCTCCTTGGCCCGGGAGGAGCGCTCGGCTCCGGAGTTGGGTGGGGCGTGGCTGCAGGCCTCTCTGGCCCTAGAGGTGCAGGGGTGGGCGGGCTGTGTGACGTAGGGCTCCGTGTGTCCCCCAGTCACGTACGAGCCACCCCCGACAGCCCCCACCCTGCTCACGGTGCTGGCCTACTCACTGCTGCCCATCGGGGGCCTCTCCCTCATCGTCCTGCTGGCCTTCTGGATGTACCGGCACCGCAAAGCCCCCTACGGCCACGTGGACATCCACGAGGTGAGGCGCGGGCTCCGGGCAGGGCAGGGTCGAGGTGGCGAGGCCAGGACAGACGCTTTAAGCCCTGATCTCCCCCAGGACCCTGGACCTCCACCCCCATCCCCTCTGGTGGGCCTCAAGCCACTGCAGCTGCTGGAGATCAAGGCTCGGGGGCGCTTTGGCTGTGTGTGGAAGGCACAGCTCATGAACGACTTCGTGGCTGTCAAGATCTTTCCACTCCAGGTGAGCATTGGAGGGGCTCCAGGCCGTCCGGCTGTGCTGTGGCCTGAGCTCTCCTGTCCCCGGCAGTGCAGGCCCCTTGTCGGTGGGGCGAGAGAGACGTGGGCCCCCTTGGGCGCGGTGACATTCACTGTGCGGCTAGGTAGGGCTCTGCAGAGCCACTCTGGTTCTCAGGGCTTTGTTTTCGACATCAGGATCTGCTTAGAGCTCCTGGACACCAGGCTCCCCAAGCAGTGTCCTGAGACCCTTAGCAAAGCCGGGCCCAGCCGTGTCTCTCGTGTGTGGGGTGATACGGGGCCACCCGCTCCCCTCTCTGGACCTCAGTGCGCCCGCTTGTGAATCAGGCGCTGAGCCTTAGTGACCTCGGGGATCACGCCTGGCCTCTGCTCCCGGGCCCGGCTCGGTGCGGGTCTCTGCCTGCCTCCCTTCCAGGTGCTGAGGCTGGGGGCGTGGGGAACGGGGTGAGGGCGGTGGCTGCAGGGGGGTTCAGCCGTGTCCCTGCCTCAGGACAAGCAGTCGTGGCAGAGCGAGCGGGAGATCTTCAGCACGCCCGGCATGAAGCACGAGAACCTGCTGCAGTTCATCGCGGCCGAGAAGCGCGGCTCCAACCTGGAGGTGGAGCTGTGGCTCATCACGGCCTTCCACGACAAGGTGAGCTGATGAGCCGCGGCCCGCGGAGGTGGACGCCCAGGCTGGGTGAGCTCGACCGCGGCCCCTCCCCTGCCGGCCTTCCACAGGGAGGGACCCTGCCATAGGTACGGACACGAGTGCCTACAATAAGAAGCCCTAACTCTGGGGTACATTCTTATGAATGAGAGTAGTGGCTTCATAACTAAAACCTCTGACCACGCCCCCCCCCCCCCCTTACTGGCCTCATATATCTTCTGTATCAACTTCAGCCCCCCAGGGGGCGACCCCAGCCGTCAGGCCCCTGAGACAGCCTCCCAGGCTGGGCTGGTCCTGCCCTGTCCCCAGCACCTGTCCCCATGTTCTGTGTGTCTCCTCTAGGGCTCCCTCACGGATTACCTCAAGGGGAACATCATCACGTGGAACGAACTGTGTCACGTGGCAGAGACCATGTCCAGAGGCCTGTCGTACCTGCACGAGGACGTGCCCTGGTGCCGTGGAGAGGGCCACAAGCCGTCTATCGCCCACAGGTACCTGGGTTAGCAGTGGACCCTCCTGGGCTCGGCCTGGGGCTGCAGAGAAGGTTGGAGGGCGAGAACAGGGCCTGGGGTGGGAGGGGGCGTTGTGTGTGTCCTCAACTTCAGAAACACGCCTGGCTACTCTGTGGTGTGTCAGAAGTGACTGGGCGCAAAGACCAGGGCCCACCTGCTGCCGCCGCTGCTGCTGCCTGCTGGCCACCCCTGTTCCGGGCCTGGCCTGGCCTCCAAGCCGGTTTCCCGGTGCCCTCCAGTGGCCACATGAGGAAATGCCCACTCCACTATGGAGAGCTGGCTCAGAAGTTGTGTTTTTGGTTCCAGTCTGTACTGTGAAAACACTTCTGTGTATGTGGCTTATGTCTGTTGATGTTTGCTGTATTAAAGCACCCACATCCCACCAGCTGTCAGAGTGATGACATCACATGTACGTGGTCTCTGGGAAACTACTCTTGAGAGAATGAGCTTAAGAAAGCCAAATAATAGATGGCTGTGAGCATAGTTTTGTCCTTGCAGATCCCCCGAAACAGTCTCAGGGACCCTCTGGGAGCCGCTGTGTTTGCTCCTCATCTTAGTGGGGTGCCTGGCAGCCAGTGCCCCAAACACTTAGAAGTACCCGCCCGTTTTACCCGCTGTGCCGCCGGGAGGTGGCTTTTCTCCGCCCCGGCTCACAGAGGAGGGAGCAGCAGTACAGAGAAGCCGAGTAGCTTAGCCGTATCTAGTTTAGTGCGGTTCTGTGGCTATGAGGGAGGGGAATGCGAGGGCCCCTAATGGTACTAACAGTGATGTCATAAAAGGTTGACTGTATGAAATTGCCATTTTTGTAGGTCAAAACGGTTGAATGTCGACTCTTCCATATGGTTCAACCTAACAGTAGTGCCTAGTAAGTGTGCCAGGGGCGTCCCCGAGCATGTAGTCCTCACACCAAGGCAGAGACAGGCACTGGGGAGACTGAGGACCAGAAGTAGCTGCTTGTGCCAGGTGGGCTGAGCGCGCACAGCAGCACCCTGCTCCGCGCCTGCCTCCGTGGCGGGCGTGGGCCCCTCGGGCCTGAACGGCAGCCCAGGCAAGCTCAGCGTCTGTGCTCACTCACATCCTAAACACTATAGACCCTTCTCAGGAAACACGAATCCAGGTCAGGGTGCCGCCCTCAACTCCCTGCGAATGCAGGCCTGACCTCTGACACGGGACTGGGATGGAGTTGGCCCGGCCACTGAGGGCAGGTGTCGCTCTGACAGCTCCGGGGGAAGTGCAGTTATGGATGCTCGTGCCAGCGTAGCGGGGGGGGTGTCCTAAAACCGCCCGCCTGCAGCTTCGTGGAACTCCGCCCTGGTGCTGACCCTGCTCCCAGCCAGGGGGGCGGCCTGCTCCGGGGTCTCTGGCGGCTGTAGGGCAGGGCACCGGCTCTGGAGCCTTGAGAGCCAGGACGGGAGCCCAGGAACAGGTAGGCTGGACCGGGTGCTCGTCTTCATCTCAGCCCACTTGTCTCCCCAGGGACTTTAAAAGCAAGAATGTCCTGCTGAAGAACGACCTCACGGCCGTGCTGGCCGACTTCGGCCTGGCTGTCCGGTTTGAGCCGGGGAAACCTCCCGGGGACACCCACGGGCAGGTAACGGACTCGGGGTGCCAGAGGGGGTGGCATTGCCCTTGTGGTGCTCAGCTGGCAAGGCGCAGGAGCCAGGGTGGCTGCGTGAGCCCAGAGCGCCCCCAGACCCGCGAGAACAGGGCTCATGCACCGCCAGGGAGAGCATGGCCTGGGCGGCGGCGAGGGAGCCGGGCCCGGCAGCTGGGACGCGCCGAGGATTCCTGGTGGGGGTTTTGGCCGCTTGTCCTTGTCGCCTCGGTTTTACTCTCCCTTTTTCTTTTTAGTTATAATTATTAAGCAAGATAACACAGAAATAAATAAACTAAAAACCCCAACCCAACAACGTAGAACAAATAAGTAAAAAATTAAATCATTCTAAAACAGTCCCTGTTTGTTTATTTATACACACACACACACACACACTTTGGTTCTAGAGAAATCAGGTGCTTTCTTTTTCCCCCCTGTTCATATTTTTAAGTATCGTCCTCCCCCTTTTGTTTTTGGTGTTAATCTCAGTGAAACACATCTGTGTGGCCCGCGGTGTTGACGGGGTCGAGGCGGCAGTCCCAGGTTAGCTTGCTGCCGTCTCGGGTGTGTGACGTGTTAAGCGATCGCTGCGGAACAGGTTACACCGGGACCTTTCGTGACCCTCTCGGGAATGTGGTGCTCCGTGCCTGGCCGTCACTGTCGGCGCCTGCTCTGAATTCTGCCGCCGTGGCCCATCCGGTGCACAAGGGATGTAGCTCCCTGTCCGGTTGTGAGCGCATCGAGCGTGGCTGTGACTGTTGGCCCTCCCCGTCCTGTGTAGGTGGGCACGCGGCGGTACATGGCCCCCGAGGTGCTCGAGGGGGCCATCAACTTCCAGCGAGACGCCTTCCTGCGCATCGACATGTATGCCATGGGGCTGGTGCTGTGGGAGCTCGTCTCCCGCTGCAAGGCCGCCGACGGTGAGTCCGCCGGCCCCAGCATCCTGTGGGTGGGTGGGTGGGTGGGGAGCAGCGGGGCTGGGGTGACCCGCCCGGCTCGTTCTCACCCCCAGGACCGGTGGACGAGTACATGCTGCCCTTTGAGGAAGAGATCGGCCAGCACCCCTCGCTGGAGGAGCTGCAGGAGGTGGTCGTGCACAAGAAGATGCGGCCCGCCATTAAGGATCACTGGCTGAAGCATCCGGTGAGGGCCTGGGTGGCAGGAACCCGAGATCAGAGGGGCATGGGGCAGAGAGAGAGGACGCCTCAGGCAGGACAGCCCCCCTCTTCCACCTGCCAGGCCAGAGGCCACTCAGTGCCTTTCCCCTCCCGCCAGGGAGCGTTAGGTTCCGTGCTCTGCAGGGAGGCGGCTCTGGTTTGCTGGGGCAGAACCCAGGTTGCCCTGTGTGGGTCAGCTGTGCCGTGGAGCCTGATGGCCCTGAGCCTGCCCAGCTGGGTTTGAGTCCTGGATTTGCCCATGAGTGGCTGGGCGACTTCGGGCCAATGGCTTTATTTCTCTGAGCCTCTGTCTCCCCAGGGTAGTAATAGATTTAATGAGTTATCATTAGAAATCTCTTGGCAGGACACCTGCATTGTATAAGCATTGAGTATGGGTTTGCTCTGGTTAAATATTCTCTGTTTTCTGCCGTCATCATTTTCTGGGCATGGGCTGAGCAGCGTGGCATCTGGGCTCCTCCACTCTGGGCACAAAGACTCCAGCTGTGTCAACCATCTCCTCTCTTGGCAGGATACTTGCCTTCAGCTCCATTGAGCCCCATCCCCCTGCTCACTCCAGGGTTAATTCAGAAAAAGGACAGGCTTGGGATCACTGGGGCTAGCACTGTACCACCCACACCATCCGGGGTCAAGCTGCCCAGGCCACGTTCAGCTGCCACGCTGCTCCCTGGAACCCAGGGCTGCAAGTGGGGAAGATGGGAGGCTGGGCCGGAGCCTGCCTCTGCCTCAGACTTTCTCAGTCTCCCAAGGCGGAGGTGCTGGGGCAGCCGGTCCCGGTCCTTGGCGAGGAGTCCAAGGTCCAGTGAGGCCGCGGTGTGGCCAAGCAGGCCAGAGAGCTCCTGGATGTGGGCATTCTGTCCATAGTCTGCCTTTCCCAGCTCCGCCCAGTTGGGTCCTGCATAGGGTGTCATGCCACCACGTCCTCGAACTCGGGGAGCGGCCCCAGGGGCTGCGGGGCGTGGGGTGGGACAGTGCCCTCTGGTCTCCACTGTGACCACCGCTTTTTGGGCCCTTGCATGACTTGTGCTTCCTGTAAGATTTTGTCTGAACGTCACTGTGTCTGCCCCAGGAGGGTCCTGGTTCCCCCGCTTCCTACATTGAGGTTCAGGGGACCTTCCTGTGCGGGAGGCCGTGGGCTCAGGATGGTGCCTTCTGCTGATGGGCAGCTTCTGGGGTTGGGATACCCGTGGGCTCTGCCTGACCCTGGGCAGCATCACCAAGCTGGCTGTCCCCCAGGCGTGTCCTCCCGCGGGGCGCTGACGGGGCTGTTTCCCTCTCCCCCACCCCCGTGGTGCAGGGCCTGGCCCAGCTCTGTGTGACCATCGAGGAGTGCTGGGACCACGACGCGGAGGCTCGCCTGTCCGCGGGCTGCGTGGAGGAGCGGGTGTCCCTGATCCGGAGGTCGGTCAATGGCACTACCTCGGACTGTCTGGTCTCCCTGGTGACCTCCGTCACCAACGTGGACCTGCCCCCTAAGGAGTCGAGCATCTAAGCCCAGGACGCGAGAGGCTCTCCAGACTCGACGGATCTGAAGAGGAAAGGAAAGAAAAGAAGTGTTTTGTTCCGCAAGTCCCACACCACCAACAAACACATAAAATGCAGCTGCTATTTTACCTTGACTTTTTATTATAATTATTATAATTATTATTATTAATGTTATTTTTGGGATCGGATCAGTTCTACCAGCACATTGCTCTACTGTATCGCCAACAGCGGCCGCGCCGGCCGCGCCGAGGTGCTGAGCCGTGAGTGCGGAGCCAGCGCCGAGCCCGGAGCCTCGGCCACCCCGTCCCCGGGGTTCGCTTCTCCCGCCTTCTCTGTGTTCGTCGTCTCAGCACCTGTGACACCAAGACCCCATCTCCTGGGAGTCTTAGGAAACTTAATGCTGCAAACTCTTCGGAGAGGAACCTTTGAAGACTGTTACATCAGAACACACCTTCCTCCAGAGGAGTCCCCCCTCCCTCCCTCCCTCCCTCCCCCTCCCTCCCTCCCTCCCTCCCTCCCTCCCAGTGTGTTTTTTCTCCTTTTTAGACAGCGAGTTTAAGAACAGCAGATGTGTCTTTCACGGATTAACGGGTGTCGTCCTGACCGAGGCCAAGCTGGGAGGAGGAGGAGGAGGAGGAGGAGGAGGAGGAGGAGGAGGAGGAGGGTGGGCGGGCGAGTTGGAGGGGGCAGTGCGGTGGGGGACGGTCTGGAACAAGCTACACTGGACACGACACATCCGCAGCAGCACCCTCTGCCGTGAGGCTACTTCTCAGGTAACCAGGAGTGAGGGCAAGGGCCGCGCGGGGGCCGGGCATGACCGCCCAGGGCGGGATTTGGAGGAAGTCTGGCGGCGGGCGCAGCTGGCCCGTCGCGGGCCCTGGCCAGGTTCTTTCCACCCGCTTGGACTTGGGCCTCAGACAGGACGCTCCTTTCTGCCCGTGTTTTCCGGGTAGGTAGGCGGGAGTCACGGCTCAGTGCGGACACTCTCCGTGAGGCGTGATGCTGTAAATGTCCTGCAAGGAGGAGAAGCGGGAACACTTCGCTTCCTCCTGGAGCAGTTCAGGGAAATGCCCGCAGGGCGCGCCCTCACGGCCAGGGCCAGAGGCATGGGCCGGAGCCCGCTGAGGCCTGCCCCTCCGGAGACCCTGAGGTTGGGGCGCCGGCGCCACCCCGAGTGGGGCCGGGACTGTCCCCTCCGTGTGGCTCGTGGATGCGCTTTGTCCAGACCCTTCACGCGGTGCATATCCCCAACCCGTTCTCTCTGACGCCACCACCTGGCTCTGGTCCGCGGAGGTTCCTAACGCTGCTGTTTCAGCATTTGACTTCTTTTTTTAATTTATGAGACTTGCAGAATCAAAAAACAAACATGAAACACACACACACACACACGCACGCTTTGCTATGTGGCTTCCGAGGTTTAAATTGAAAAAGAAAACTTCACGACCACAGACCACCTCAAACCAGAAATACCTCAGAATTTTCTACTTGTGTACGTTTTATTATATATTTTATTAGTTGTGTTGTCTTGTAATAAGTATATTTTAATGTAAGTTGGCTTTTATGACGAGAAAGTTTAAAAGAAATAGAGAAAAAGAAAAAAAGTTGGCGCCTCCTAGCTAGTGCTACGTGTACATAGTCGTCGCCACCTGTAGGCCGGCCGGCCGGTTGTGCGGGCCGAGCCGGCCTCCATCACGCGTGTTTGTCACGGCTCTTCCTTCTGGTTTCTGTAGGCCATTTTCTCTAAAGCGATCTCTTCATCTTGGGGTGCGGGGAGGGGGGGAGTTGGAGGGCGATGGGGAGAGACTGACCTGGGGAGCCTGGGAGGGGCACCTCGGGGGTATTTGGGGGTTCAGAGGTGTCCCTCCAGCTGATGGGTTGATGTTCAGAAGGACAGGTAACCCCACTGTAACTTGGTAAAACGGTGGCCCTCAGAGACCCGCATGCGGTCATTTTACTTGAGACTTCATTGCTTGAGGACGTGGGCAGCTGTGATCTCAGAAGAGCCCGGAGTTGTCCCTGAATAATCCCACTGTGACTCGGGGTGGTGTGTGCCGGGGGTGGGGGGGTGTCTGGAGTTCCCACCCGAGCTCGGGCATGCTGGGGGTGGCCGTGCCCTCTCCTCCCCCTGTTTGCACGGGGGCGTGGGAGGCGAGTGCTTCCCTCCCAGAGCTCAGTGTTTGCTTCGTGGGTCACGGTGGGAGCCGGCTGAGCTGGCTGCAGGGACAGGTCTTCTTGTTGTTTTGTTGTTGTTTGGGGAAGCTATGTTGTTGTTTACTTCTAAAAAAAACCCTATTTTGTGCTGTGGTATTTTTTCCCCCTTGGAATCATTTTTTTAAACAGCAAAGCAGGTCTTACAGCAGTTGCTTTTCTTTTTCACTGATTTCTTTAAGAAGCTTTAAACTATTTATTGAAAAGTGCCATATCTCATTTCCGTAGCGTTCTGCTCAGGCAGGGCCGGGCGTCCCTCCTTCCCACCCTCGGAAACCAGGGGACCGCCCGCTCATGTAGCTGCCGCCCCCGGGATGACGGGCCTGTTTCTGCTGGGGCGTCGCCCGGCCTCTCCTCGAGTGGCCACTTCAGATGCCCTCTGGGGGCTGTTCCTTTTGTGCGCTGGCCGGCTTCGTGGGAGAACAGTTCGGGCCTGGCTGTGGCGGGCTGAGCCACGGCCCTGCGTGGGGACCTGCTGGTCAGGATGCCTTCCTGGCGGCCTGCGTGCCTTTTATCCCGGGTTCGGGGGGGGGGGGGGGCTCCCTCCTTGCTGACCCTGCGCTCAGCCACCGTGGCATCGCTCTGGGGCCTTGGCACCAGGATGACGTGTCAGGAGATGGTCCTGTTGGGTGTGGCCGGGGAGAGGGGAGCGGCCAGGGGTCTGCGCCAGCTCTGTGGGCTTCAGGCTGCCTCTCCCCCTCATGCTGTATTCCCGGCGGCTGCTGCTGGAGCAGGCGGGTGGCCTCTCCCTGGGCGAGGCTCGGCGAGCCTGCGTCTACCTGCTGCCTCAGATCAGGGGCTTGTCTGCTGGCCGAGTGCTCTTTGTGGAGCGTGCCATCTCGAGCCCCGTTTGTGTTTATGGGGTTACAGGGCCTCTGGCTTTTCTCTTCCCCACCGAGGTTTCAGGTGACGTTCACTTCCCGGAGCTCAGGTGGCTCTGGACGACGGTGGGAACGGAGTCTGCGTCCCTGTCCCTCCCACGGGGGGGAGGCGGGGGGGCTGACCCACCTGCAGTGGGAGGCGGCACGTCCGGGGAGACGAGGGGCCGAGCACCCTCGCCCTCTCCTTTCTGGTGTCCCGTCTCCAAGCTGGTGTCCAGGCGCCTGGTTGTGTGGGACGGGCTTTAGGGAAGAATGTGTTCTGTCTGCAAACACCCACGATCCCTGTGGGAAGACATCTTCAGCCAGAGAAGTCCAGCCATGAGCAAGGGAGAGGAACCGGTGGGGACAGAGGCACGGTTCACAGCGTCCTGAGGGGGCTCTTCACGAGGGCAGTGGGCGGGGAAGGTCGGGAAGGGAGCCATTAGCCATCCTGAGGCCGGCGCAAGCGGGATTTTCTCCCGGGGCCGCTGGTCCCCATCAGGGGTCCTTTGAGCGAGTTCCTCAGGGCAAGGGCTGTAGATGGACGTTCTCAGGAGGAAGGGAGACCTGGCCACGAGGGAAGGTGGGAGCGTCACCAACCTTTGTTCCTCAGCACGGCCTTCCTGGCGTGCTGGCTTCAGCCCTGCCCGTGGAGGGCTTCCCTGTGCACCAGCCGCTGCGGACTCAGGATCCCTCCTGTCCAGATGTGGCCATGGGTGTCCAGCCTTGAGCATCTTTGGGAGGCTCCAACCCCCCCCTCCCCCCCAACACACACACACATCTTTTCAAGCAAGGGAAGGGTCTCATCTCCAGGCCACTGAGATAGTTCTTCTGTGGCCCCTAGGGGCCAGGCTAACTCTTGTCATGTCATGTTTGGGAAGCAAAGCAGGTGATCCTATCACCGTTCTCTCCAGTTGGCCGAGTTCTTGCTCCCTGCTGCTGCCCTGCCACCGTGGGTGTGGTGTTTCCTTGGTGACATGCCCAGCTGAGTCTTGAATGTCCACCACGTGCTGCGTGTGGCTCAGAAGGCCAGTCAGGTGGTCCCTGTGCTCTGAGCCACGAGGGCAGGGAGGTGGCTGTGCCGTGTAGGGTGGGAGGGCTGGCCGGCACGCTTGCAAATGGAATTTTGCTCTTTTCAGAATGCCGGGTGGCATCCCCGGCACCCACTGGTAATACAAGGTTAGAGTAAGCGTACGTCGGTCAGTTTTAAGAATCGGTACTAAAAGCCCAAGAGCCAGGCTTTATTCCTGAGGACTTGACTCGCTAGAAAAATACCTGGTTTGTAAAGCATTTTCCACAACTTAACTCCGTGTGATTGTCAGTGTCGGTCGGCTGTTTCCGTCTCCTATCGGGTCCTTCACGGCTTCTGTTTGGAGAGGGAGCCAGGCACGGTTCACATTTCAGGGCCACGGACCGCCTTCCTAAGCAGCACAGCGAGCTGACTCCTCCCCCCTCCCGCGGGCGAGCAGTCAGAGAGGAGACGGGTGGCGGCTCTTCCTCCTCCGGGCGATGTGAATTCTCCTTGGTCAGTGGCTGCTTACACAAGCTGTGAACTAGTAAGATACTCAGCAGCGCATGTGTTCAACCCAGTCATGACGGGTTCACGTCTCGGCGAACTGTGATGTTTCCGGTAAAGAAACGGGCCCGGTAATTCAGTTGATGACGTTTTTCATCTCCTCTGTCTAGATGTGTGCGTGTTTAACGAATTCAGGGTCATACCCATAGTTCTTGTAGTAAGCTTCCTTGGTCGTTGACTTGTAACCAGCAATTCACCTATGAATGTATCCCAAACCCTTAGGAGGCTTGGAGAAGTTTTTTAAGATAATGATTTAGTTTTGTAGGAAAAATACACTGAAGTTTACAACACCCATTTTCCCCTGGAAATTCAGTTGACTCAGCCACATTGTCACAAGCAGTCATCCAATGACAGTCCAGACGATCTAGTGGGATGCTTTTAATATTCCTTCTTATACTCATTTTGGGTCTACTGTAATCTTCGGTTCGGACAGGAGTTTGAATCTAAAGGATTTACCACTGTCTGTGTTGTTACCAAGCTTTTGCGTTTTGTGAGGGTGTCTTCCAGGTATGAATGAAGCAGGACTTCTGACCGTGGCACTCCCTGGGTCCCTGTAGTGCCAAAACCAGCGATACTTGATTTGCTCCTTCGGCAGCTTGTAGAGGTAACACTAGTGGCTTTTCCTCGTGAATGAAAATGCCCATTTTCTAAACGCCAGTGTTTGGCGACGGCCCTGGCGTGTCTCCGGGTTGCCTGGGGTCTGGGCAATTCCGAGAACTGCAAGCCCACTACAGGACACTAAAGAAATAGACGCATGGACATACGTGTGTTTGCAGTACGTTATACAGAT